GTCCAGCGAACCACCTTTATGATTTGAGAGTGTTTTTGTAATCTTGGGTCTATGTTTATACTTTCTTTATTGCATTGTATAGATAGAAAGATGCCGGTTTTCCAGACCGTTACAGCAGGCAGCCATCTAGCAGCCAATATAATTTTTGCACTTACGACAGTTTAATCCCCCATTGTTGGGGATAGAAATTGGGATAAAACTTTCATTTAATAAAATGGTGCAGTTATGAATATTTATAGAAATTTCAAGTATGTTGCTGTGTGCACTGGTCCGTAGGCCAGAAAGACCGTACACAAAACACCAAAACAAAAACCTAGCTAGCTCTTTCCCTTTACTTATTAGCACGGCACAAAACTTCTCCCCAGCACAGAGGAGAGGTTCGACTCTGCTTTCAGTTAACCTGTTAACTTCTAACAGATAGTGGGTCAGACCAAATTACCTTAAACTCCAAACTGAACTTCAAAATTTTGAATAATTAAAATCCACCTTGGTCAAGCATCCAATAAAAACACAGGTATATTAAAAAAGACGTCGTTATAATTGAAACACACGGAAATTAATATGAAAATTACAAAAGTGCGATTTAATCTTAACACCAAAAAAAAAGGAAAATGGTACACAAATACAAACAATTATTACAAATAGACTAAAATTAAGACTACTTACATTACTTGTCCGGTAATTGGAATATCTAAATAACAGGTATCCTTACATATTTCACAAAAACAATTTTCAATGAACACACGTTACACCAAGGACCTCGAGTAATCGCAGCTTCTTCTTTCCGAGTAGACCAGGACGTTCCAATAAAATCCAATAAAAAAAACTGAGCCACGTTGAAAACACACTTATGAAACGCCGACAAACGCATCTCCTTGCAGCACCTTAGATGGCCAAAACTTCAAACTTCAAAACGAAATAAATTCTTCAACGAAATATGTAACTCTGCTCTGAACGAAAGAAAAAAACTGTTTTAGATTTAAAAAAAAACGTAGTTATGCGTTGACTGTGGCTAAAAGCGACGCTTTTCTTGTTAATGTCCTATTTACGGCGAAACCCTTCTTCCGAAAGTGAAAATTATAACAACCAATCATACACAGTTGACAACAAAGACTATCCCCTCAACGTACGATAATAGACCAAAAAATTGAGGTCGAATAATTTTAATACTTAAATCAATTTGTTATCAGACATTAAGAGATAAACCCAAAATTAAATTCTAGGAAAAATAAAATTTAATATTTCTTAACTATACAGACAAGGCGATAAATCACATCCACCTGTTAATATTTACATTTGATAACAGCTAAAAACCAAACAAAATTAACTACAAATGTTAATTACATAAAAAAAGACCGCCCTTGTCGATCTTAATTAAGATTTCTGAAAATTTCATCCTGCCAGACGAAATAAACACAGCAATGTTGTTATTAAGGATTCTCCGATCCTTTATAGTTTTGTATTGTCCGTCCGTCCGTCCGTCCGTGTGCGCTATAACTATTTTTAAAAGTGTCCGATCCTGTTGAAATTTGATGTACGGGCACTTTGGACATGGAGGAAGGACACTATAGATTTTCAGGAAGCTGGCCCATAGTCGAGTCAACGAAGGTTTTAACTTCTCAATTCTCAGCAACAGCTCGGATTTTGATCAACTTTTTTTAAATACGTGTTTTTTAATACTATTCTAAATCAGAAACATCTCAATTTCAGGAATTTTTTTTAATATTGTTTAAACAATAACTGAATTTCCTGGAAGAATTAGTTTTACAATTGTTTTTCGCAATATCTATGAAAATGTGAATCGTTATACTAGTATGAACAAGGCCCCCGCAGTCGTGGTTAATAATTATTTGTATAGTTTAATCAATAATAGCAACATCTTACTCACCTCCTTGTGGTGTTTAGTAGAAGATATGTTGGTATCTCCATATCTTCCATCGTTTAGATGTCCTGGTGCGACATGGTATTGAAGGCATTCCTGACATCGAGTGATGTCATCAGACACGCCCCCCTTATCCTGCGCGTTTCACCGTTGGTTTTCTCCCTTATGTTGTGCAGGGTTTTATCGCGTCTATCGTTAACCTTCCTTTTCGGAAGGCATATTGTTTCTCTGCGAGCCTATTTTTATTTTTTCAAAGATTTTTCCAGTGAAATCAAGAAAACTAATCCCCCAATATGTATCCTTGGTCTTTGCGATCAGTGCAAGCCTGCACTGCTTTCATACTACCGGGTACTGCCACTAGGGACGAGACAATATCTGGCCCAGGCGCCTTGTTATTCGGAAGTTTCCGTGCCGTTGTTACTACTTCCTCAAATTCACTGTTTTCCCTCTCAACTGGTTCGAGAGCCTCACGCTTGGGGAAGAGCTAGTCAATATAAACTTCATCATTCCACCCTAAGGGGTACCCTTTCTTGTTGAGTTTACCCGCCAATCTCTACCTCTAAACGCCCTTTTCAAGTTCATCACACAGCGCTTTTTTTGCCGTCGTTGATCGCCCTTTTGGTAGGTATGTTATCTAGATCCCTTGAAACAACTTCAAGGGGCTTCCGGGCTTCTTCGCTCTGGCAACCATTCGCCCCTCTAGGACACATGTTCCGCGAAGCTCTTCTATGCCACCAGTACACCACTCTGCTTCCTCAGGGGTATATTGCATTGAATATTTTCCTCATCTCAGCTTCTGTTATGCAGTAACTTATGCTATAACTCGACCATTACCTTAGCTTCTTCGCCCAGCGCGTTTAGTGGCTATTTAATTTGGTCTTCTTTGGTGATTTTATTTACCTCCACCTCCTGTATATAGTAGGTAGTTTTATCTGATTCTTCTCACACTTTATATTATGCCCCGACTCCCAATTCGCTTTAAAACCGTTCCATGTTTAAGGATTATTTTTAATTGGCCCTCTTTTTTCTCTTTTTCTTCTTTTTCACGGAATTGAGCTATATGTTGTTAAAAATTAGATCTTCCAACATTTCGATTTATTGTACGTAAATCTTTGTCAAGTCCACACACAAACCATAACGGTTAAATTGAATCGTGGGGCAAACCAAACATTGTGCCAGTTTGTTAAATTTTTAAAACTGGAAGCTCACTTTTTGTTTATATCTATAAAGATGCTCGCACGATGCAACTGATAGTATAAGGGCGTTCTTATATACTTACCGAAAGAGACTCTCGGAGAGACTAAAACAATAATTGTAGGGGTAGCAATGTCTAACGTCTGACACTAGTGTAAATCGTATACTGAAACCGTAATGAATACTCAATAAGAATCAATAATTCAATTTACGTTAACTAAACAAAAGCAAAATTTTGATCGACAACGAATTGTCCTTACAAATCGGTAAAATAAAAGCATAAACGTAACGTTAACTTAAAAAAACTACTGTACAATGCACAAATAACTAAGTTTCTATACAACAACGAAGTAATCTAATTTAAAATGTGAATAAGGTAACACGAATAAATCCTTCGGAGTGACACAAATTTACGTAACAAAAAATCGTAGATATCTGTTTGGGACTAAGCCTCGGTAACTTCAAAAACTAATTTACAATGTGCAAATAACTAAATATCACGTATAACAAACAAATCAAAAGAACACAACCTAATCACACTAACAGAAATGAATCTTCGGAGTTACAAAAGTAACGTAGCCAAATTGGGGTCTGGTATATTCTTCGTAGCGACACAAGTAGCGTAAGTAAAATCAGAAGCATCAACCTCCACAAGGTTAGGCAATACTTGCAGTTAAACAGGAATAATACGTCTCCAGGTGTATATTTTTCGATGTAGGTTATGTATTTGTAGCGTTTTATTACAAAATACAGGAAAAGGAACTATTTTTTATTTTGAAATATAAACAGAATGCTCATTATTAATTATTAAATTTTTATCACCTAGACCTATCTTGTTTTTCTAGGATCTATTGAGTTTCGTTAATGGTCGCCACAGTACTCCCCCCTCAGTGACTACCTAATTGTTGTAGTCGCGGAAACGTACAAGCGGTTTCGTTTTTTTTCGTAGTCGAGTTGTTAAAAGAGGGGAATGATCTTCGGATGCAGTTTTTTCATTTTTTATCTCTGACATGTCTTCTGGTAGGAAAGCTCGTTTTAGACAATCAATGCCGAAAGTCAGACGCCAAACGTGGAGGTCGCCGACACCTAATCAAAAGCGCGTCGTGGAAACGTACGCTTGAACAACACTGTCTGGCGCGTCATGGGACTGTCTGGCACAAGCGACCCTTTATCTACTATTGTTGCACTGTTCCAGGACTGCGCCGATGGAGAAATCTGAAGCGTCGGTTGTCAGCGCGAGTGTTGTATCTTCGATTGGATGTGCTAGAAAAGCACAGTTCGCCAGATCTTTCTTGCATCGTTCGAAAGACATTTCAGCTTTGGATGACCATATAATAGCCGTTTTGTCGTTTTTACAGCTGTTCTTCAGGTAATCGTTCAAAGGAGCCTGGATTTCAGCAGCATTCTCCATAAATCTCCGATAGAAATTTACCATGCCTAGGAAACGACGTAAGTCCTTGACGATGGTCGGTTTCGGAAATTTGAGGATTGCAGATACTTTGCCAGGGAGCGGCGAGCTACCATCAGCTGATATAAGGTGGCCTAAATATTCTACCTGATCAGCGCCTAAAACACATTTTGCAGGATTGACAATAATTTTGAATTCTTTAAGACGCTGAAACACTTTTTCAAGGTGAAATAAATGCTCTTCAGGAGAAGAAGAACAAATTAAAATGTCATCAATATAACAAAAACAAAAATCAAAATCTGCTAACACTAAATTAATATGTCTTTGAAAAGTTTGAGCTGCCTTTCTTAAGCCGAAAGTCATAATAAACAGAATGCCAATTATTAATTATTAAATTTGTTTCACCTAGACAACCACCTATCTTGTTTTTCTAGGATCTATCGATTTTCGTTAATGGCCGCCACATATTCTTGAGTATAATGACTCGAATCTTAATTAATTTTTTTTTCATTTCAGGGTGCATCCATGTTATGAGTCAAAAGAAGCGATGAACGGCACAGAGCTGCTGTATTCAGCAGCAACTGATGACGACAACTTAAATTTTACGGACGTAAACGGTACTCTCTGGACCAATTCAACAGACTTAGAAAAGGATGCATGGGAGCACTGGAGTGCCTTGATACAAGATCGTGCGTTAATCGTGTCTCTTTTACTAGTCTTTCCAATTGCGACTGTTTTTGGAAACATGTTAGTGATACTAGCCGTAATACGTGAGCGATACCTACACACTGCGACTAATTACTTCATTACTTCGTTGGCGGTCGCTGACTGTTTAGTGGGGCTCGTAGTGATGCCTTTTAGTGCCCTTTATGAAGTACTGGAGCATACGTGGTTTTTTGGTCCGGACTGGTGCGACGTTTGGAGATCGCTCGACGTCCTGTTCAGTACGGCGTCGATACTAAACTTATGTGTTATATCATTGGATCGTTATTGGGCAATAACGGATCCAATAGCGTATCCGATGAGAATGACTCGTATCCGATCCGCACTTTTAATTGCTGCGGTATGGATATGTTCAAGTGCAATTTCGTTTCCGGCAATCGCGTGGTGGCGCGCAGTGCGAACCGAACCGATACCCGCTTATAAGTGTCCCTTTACCGAACATTTGGGTTATTTAATATTTTCATCGACAATTTCATTTTACCTACCCTTATTCGTGATGGTTTTTACCTATTATCGGATTTACCGCGCCGCAGTGATGCAGACGCGCTCGTTACGTTTAGGAACCAAACAGGTTCTACTAGGATCAGGAGAACTCGAACTTACGTTAAGGATACACAGAGGGGGCACGTGCAAATTGCCCACTTCTGACCCTAGACACCTTTACAGTACTCCGGAGGATGAGCCCTTGACGGCGTTGCAAAACAACGGCTTATCTCGGATCGCTTCCAATAGATACGGGAAAAACTTTTCGCTCAGTCGTAAGCTGGCAAAGTTCGCTAAAGAGAAGAAAGCCGCGAAAACTTTGGGGATAGTGATGGGGGTGTTTGTGGTGTGCTGGTTACCGTTTTTTGTGGTAAACTTACTTTCTGGATTTTGTATGGAGTGTATATGGCACGAGGAAATTGTCTCGGCAGTGGTTACATGGTTAGGGTGGATAAACTCATGTATGAACCCCGTTATCTACGCCTGTTGGAGCAGAGATTTTAGAAGGTAAGATTTTCTATTTTTATAACAGAAACTTGTTATAATTTTGGACGTGATTATCTCACTTGCTACGGGAATGTAATTATCGAAGTTTTTAAATTCAGCAAAGCGTATTACTTAGAAAGGACTCAGAGGTTTTAACTTTCATTGAATGGGAGTTTTACTCCTACACATTTTCTCATTCAACCTTTTTGCTAAATATAAAATCTATAAAAAGACTAAAACTGAAATGATGTTACTTTTTGTTTCAAATTAAGGTCCGATAATGTATAGGTATATGAAATACTCCCGCAGGAAGTTGATCGTATTTTTATATAGTGAACAGTAATCAATCGATAATAGCCAACAGTTAGACGTTAGAAGTTTTTTTATATATGTACCTCATATTTCCTGGAAATCCAGACAGTACCTAATCTGAATACTTCGCTCGCCGTAGTATGCAAACGTGTGCAATATTCTACACCCTTTCGAAAAGTTTTACTTTGTGACAATGAATATGCCACTTTTACATTAAACTTTCATTTGAAAGCAATTAGTGTAATCGACGAATGCTTATTGAGTACATGAAGGGAGGGGACAGAATATTTCTAAAAATTATTATAGAGTGCATGTAGGGGGTATAGCGCTTAGAGGTAAACACCTTTAAAACTCGTAAATTTTTGAAAGTCAATTCCCATTAAAGCGGTCTTCAGCCTTTCTCAAATTATCCGGTTTTTGTGTCTAGGAATTTTCGCCCAATATCTGCAGTGCTCTTTCGTGACTTTTTCCTGAATCTCCTCTTTGGCTGTGTTATATGCAATCCCACTGAGACAAAGATTTTAGTTTTGGTTAGGTTCTCTTTATATAGTTGAGAAGCTGCCGTCAGTTGCATTTACCTGGGGCTTGGAGCACAGTTACTTTTTTTCCAATATACAGATATTCAGCTCCGTTTATTGCTTCCGTACACTCCTTTGTAGTTTTTGAGCCATCTATGTAATACATGATTCCATTCACCTTACCTTATTGGAATTATCCTTCCAGTCGTATCGAGCGGAAATTATCGTCTTAAACAGTTTTTTAAGACAAATTTTTTTGGTTATTCTCTCAGTTATCATACTGAGGGTTTTATCTTTAGATTTCATCTATGCCCCAATCCCTCCTCCCCATTGACCCTTGGCAAGTATTGTAATGGTTGTTACAAAGTCTCCTACTTCTTCTGGTTGATTAAATTAGGAGTGTTTCTTGTTGTGTAACTATATTATTAATATGACGCGGCTGTTCGTCGGTCAATAACCCTCTTCTGGCCTCAAGGATAAAAGGTAAAGGATTAAATAAAAAGTCAAATATGTTTATTAAAGGTTAACGGTTCTTATTTTCATATCGCCTTTACTGTAAGAGAGCACATTTTAATAAATAGGGAATTGATGCGAAGCGATCCTGTAGGGTAAATGGTTAGACTACGTAAAATCATACTTCACATTGGTAGGAAATACTCAAACTTTATTTATAATCGTATGTGAAACCAACACAATGTCAAATGAACCGCTGGGTACTAAAGGAAAATTACTTCTCCGTTAATAGAATTGTTTCGTCGTCTTCCGATGTGGAAATTCTCGAGTACCTTGTTCCCAAAAATGCTGTTATAATTTTCTCCTGGCGTTGCTAGGGCTCTATGTAGATGGTACCGGGTTCTCGGTATAATGTTAGCCTTTAAATATCGCCAGGAGACACTGGTAGAAACACTTCCTTTCCGAGCGCGAATTCACTTGTATTTATACCCTCTCTCTTAGTATCATTATAATTAATTTCCGCCTATCTTACCACGACGAAACGTTTATAATGTTTCTGCATCCGTTCTACAAGCTTTTGTCAAATCAACTTCGGCACGAAATAGACGTATTTACACAACTCTCCTTGCGGATAGTTTACAATGACTCATTTAATTACCTTCTCCTGAATACACATACTTAAAGCGATTTTGAGTTTACATTGCTAATTCCCTTTTAGCTTTCTCGCGATTAAATATTATACCAAATCAGGTCAAAGTAAATGAAATAAATTCCTTTCCATGCTAAAATACAAATACCCGTACAGTTAAGGTTACATGCATACATAAATATACCCTACACAATTTATCACATTTCTGTACAGGGAAATCCCGTTACAGTATGCCCCTCTGAGTGCCACTGCCCTAATTACTAGGTGTACTCGCGGTAAGTTCAAGAGGGTCTCTATACCTTCCGTAAGGGTCGCTATTATTTCCCACGTAATTTCAAGGCAATCTCTGCGGTGCACCTTGCTAAGTATCTGTATGTTCTTCTGGATAAAGGTCTTATTTTACCACACCTTCCAGAGTGATATTGTCAAACGCCCTCTCCATATCTAAAAACTCAGCTAGAGTTACCTCCTTACAGAATAGCGCCTCGCACCTCATCCCTCATGTTCAATAAGTTTCTTCACTAATTTTAGGAGAAAGACGTTAGACTGATGGGTCTAAACATTTTGGCTTGGGTGTATGATTCTAGCCCAGGTATCGATATGAATACGACTTTTACGTCCCTTCGCACCATAGGTGTGTATTCCAGGACAAAACTTGCCCTTAGTAACATACATAGCGTGAAGGCTAGCGGGTCGAGGCCTTGTAGAGCAGGACCCATCCATCCCTTGGGATTTATACGGACGGAAAGACTTCACTGCCTCGTTAGGTTCACTATCTCGAGCCAAAACCCAATCTCCTCTGGTCCACCTGAGAAGTGGTTCCAGAATAATTGATTCGCCCGCGTCATTTTGAGCGAGGTCTTTGATCCCGGAATGTGTGATTGAAACAAAAGCCCCATTGTTTCCTTTGCGGTCTCTGTATAACCGTTCAATGTTCTTCTGTTACTTTTCGTAAGGCTCTTTGGAGTTTGGCACCTTCTGGAATTTGTTCAACCCACAAATATTTTCGTTTATTTTTAGATCATTCTTCATCCTTGTAACGGTAGCTGTAAATTTCTGTAGAATTTTATAGAGATTTAGGATTTTTGGGATTTATGTAAGGGTCAAACATATCATAGAAAGTCTACAGGGTCAAAAATTAGAGGGGCGAATTTCCTAATAGATTGTATGACTGGTGGAATTGTACATAAATAGTTTATGGAAAAGCAGTCGTTTTGGATATACGTCAGTGAATTGTATAATACACAGCGACCTCATAATTAGTTCCGAAAATCGGTGTCATCCGTCTGTCCGGGGTTTGAATTAGATTCATATATGTCAGTTTATTGAACTACAAGAAAGAATTATATAATCGATCGAAGTGGATTTGCACGGTTTAGTAACATAATTTAAAACAACCGTATTTCGACCAAGGACCAATCAATTAAGCGCGCCAGTATATTTTCTTTGCCATAAAGAGCAAATTCAGTATAGTTATTTCAGTGCTGGCGAAGCCCATGAGGGACTGATCTGTGTACTTTGCATTTGTAATACTGAAATTGGTCTAAACATCTGTATCCAAAAAACAGTAAAACAAGTAAAGTAAAATTGGGATTTAGTGAAAAGTCTCCTTTTGGTGGTGGAAAAAGTTCGTAATAATTTATAAACCCTGTTAATAACAAATTCTATAATATTAACAAGAATCTTGCTTACAATTTAAACACAGAAGTTTACCGTTTGAAAAAACTACGCCCAACGCGATTTGTCTAACAATTTTATTTATTTATTTTGTTAAAGAATTTTCAATTTTACTTAGAAGGGCAGAAAGGAGGGCACCCCCTTTATTGACAAACTTGTTGCATCGACAATTGTGTCAAAAGTTACAGTACAAAGGAATCATGACCATCTTACCAATTTTGCAAAAATGTTAACTAAATTCCTACCACAGTAGGGACGGTAAGAAAAAAGAAGACCATCTAACAGAGTCTTCTAAAACGTTACCGAGAAAGATACCAAAAAGTTTCCATTACAAATCTAAAAGGTTCCACGACGACTGTATGCGCTGTAATAGTTCCACGGATGTATAATATAGAGAGGTGATCCGGCGGCCGCTCATCGCGTGGTTCATTTATGTCGTCTGCTAAGTTAGACAAGGACAGACAACTAGATTGGCGCGGCCTCGGGCGCGGCAGTTAAAGATTTACAATTTGAAATCACGTCAGTTGGTAGGTTTTTCTTTACAAGGACCGGAAAACATTATTTTTTATGCTAAGAATTCAGTGTAATACAGAAACTAAATATTTATTTTCTAAAACAATATGCACTTATGAAATTTGTAACTTTGATTTTTTCTTATTTATTGCAGACATCTTTCTATGTTTTCCTTGCTCTTGTCTGTAATATTGTTTAACTCGCATGCAGGTATAGTAATAAACCGCTTTAGCTATTACATCGTCCCGATGTTCTTGACACTGAAATTGTATTAGTTTGTTTTCGTGAACTGAAAAAAAATCTTCCAGTGTATTGTCGAAGACATCAACAGAGTCGATATGTTTAAACATCACACTTTCTAACTTCTTTAATAAATTATGAATAGGTTTATTGGGATGATTCAGCCATCCTCGAGATTTTAATTCAACTAACTCAGCTTCGGGAGCTAAAACATGAGTAGGTTTGGGATTATACAGCAGCTCCCGACAAAATTTGCAGCTTGATTCTCGATATAGCTTTTTACAAATAAAACCAGTTAAGTAATAAATAATGCAATCTAGTGTTTCAGGTATATCGACATCGTAAATAGGTGCCACGGTGTCTTCAGAATCCTCCCAAAATTCTCCTTCAAGAAGCCCATCTAATTTACCCTTGATTTTTTCAATATGCTGAGCTTTGTTAGCAGAGTCATTGTCACAAAAGATAGCTTTAAAATTTGTAATAGACAGCACCGTGTTTTGTGATTCGTCTTCGTCATTCGTGCAATTGCCAAATTTTGGAGGTTTCAGCAGCTTATAAGTCGATAATAAACGATATACATGCATAAACGTCACCATTGTAGGGTGATCATTATCACAACCAGCTTGTCTAATTGTTCCAAAAAAACGCTGCAATTTAAATACATTACCTACGTACACAATCAAGCAAAAAACCTGTACCTCTAAGGGATCTTGATTCATTTTGCTAGTAAGCACATAACTGAATGTTCGCGTTTTCAGAAGATAATTGCACAAATCCATAGTAGATGAAATAGTCACACGAAGACCTTCAGCAGTGGAGCTTGATAAAAAATGATCTTTTGTAATTTTTTTCTCAACTACCATATTCTCCCAATGGTTAATAAAATTTAAATTCTCTCGAAGTACCTATACACATATAGATTAAATGCATCCCCTTTTTAAAAATTTGTTAGAATTACTTCAAAATCTTTACTTCCACTGATAATGCCTTCACCACTACGACGGCTGTTCAAAACATCGAATAAATTATTGATTCTCCTGGTAAATGAAATTGTACAATCGGCATTTTTAAGTCTATCACAACGCCTCTGATAATGGATGAGACCTTCGGCAACAGAATTACTAAAAATCTAAAACAAAAGGAAATTATGACATATACCTATCACTACCTAATAATATTGTAAAAGTATGTAGATATGTGAAATTGATACCTGAGTTGCAAGTTTTACTCTCATTTTCATAAAACCGTTTGGATTTATATGCATTTCGGTTATTTTTGGACACACTCTTGTGTTGTTACTTTGTGTTTGATCTAGTTGTAGTAGAATTTTATAATACTCCCAAAGTATTCCACCTTCAGGCGTCTAAAAATCATAATTTAGGTAGATATGGTATACATTTTCATAACAAATACATACTATTAGAGCGTTGTTGTTCAAAAATCGGTTTCTTATGCACTTTATAAGATGAGGGGTATCGGAGAAAAAATATAGGTCTCTTGAATCATCCACTGGATGAATAACTTTATTAGTTGTGTTGGACAACTTCCCTGAAATTCCAAATTCCATCCACATCTTCCTATTTGTTGATGCACCATCACAAACCGTGCCATGAACTTCCGCTCCACAATTCTCCAATTTTTTTATAATTTCTAATACTAACTGTGCAAGGCAGCTTCCTTTCGTGGGACCCTTAGTAGCATACACTGCTATTGGTTGGGTAAAATTATCAGCTAATGATGACCACATAAATACTAAAGCATGGTCAGCCTGTTGGCCAGTGACTGTTTTTGATGTATTTTCATGTTCTGCGCCGAAATCTTCTGCTCCAATTAATTTAAGATTTTTTACATTTAGCTGAATATTAACGCGCACCGACATCTCATCAAATATCAACATACCTTGCCTTGCAAATTTATTTTTTTCTTGTATTTTCATCTTAAATGCTTGGAAAAATTCTTCGTCAAGTCCACATTTGAGTCTTACTCGCGACAAATATGTACGCACCGTTGACACAACGGGAAGAGGTACGATTTCATTTTTTCTTAAAAAAGCGTACGATTTTGGGCTTTTAATATGAAGAAGTAAACACATAAGTAACCAACTAGAAGAATAACGCCTAGACGTTTTCTTTTTGTACCTAGCCATCTTAATGCATTCCATCAGTAACATTTTTTGAGCGGAAGGTAAATTTTCCATCTGATCAATTTTTTTCTGCACTTCTTCTTCATTCAGGGTTTTCATTTTCGCTTTAGCTTCTTGTAACTCCTTCCTTGCTTGAATTAGTCTATAATGCAGTCTTCGTTCACGTTTACGACAGTTGGCTGAATTTTTCAAAAAGCGGTCTCGTCTCGACATGGTGACCTTTGTGACTTTTTTTTTTTAATAAGCGATTGCTTTTTTGGCATTTTTACACAAACAACAGTAGTTCACTCCTTTGAATAAACGTTCATCGGTAGTATTCAACAGGTAACTACAATTTCCATGTCTCACGCTTTTAGAAAATTCATCTTTGTGATATCGTGTCCTGCTGAAGTCTATGCTATCTCCGATTATTATTATTAATCCGTAACATATAGGGAGTAGATCAAAATCAATCAACATTTTTTCAAAATCAGCAATCGAATTAATCTTACTATTTGAATCTTCAGTTAAACGGACATGCAAATGTTGAAAAATGAAGAAGTTTATAAAAGATTTACACAGCACAATTTTCTTTGAAATTACGATATCATTTTCTACAACATCTGTTTTAAAAAGTGCTATAATGTCTTTATGGAATTGTAAGGTCCACGACGCAGACGGCAAGGTAACGTTATTCTTCGACAAACTATCGAATATTGTGACTAACCAAGATTTATTATATTCTGAGTTATTGCCTTCGTATATCTTTTCAACTAAAAGGAAATTAGAAATCAGTGGAATAACTTAGGCAATGCAATTTAAGTTTTTAACATTCCCACAAATGATTAAAAGACCCATCAAAAAAGAAAAAATTGGCGAAAGCTTAACTTTGGACAGGGATTTTAAGTGCATTTTCAGTCATGTTTATATAAATATCAGACAAACGGGCATACGGACAGACATACGGGCTCCGTACTGCTCAATAACTCGCCGAGACCTATCTAACGGCACCTCAACCAAGCCTCTAGCACTTACCGTTCCGGAGATATAAAATATCGGACAGACAGACAGACAGACAGACAGACAGACAGACAGAGAGACAGGCAGACAGACATTCCGAGCCTAATAGTGCATTTCAGTTTTTTCTGAAAATGCACTAAAAACAGAACTCTGTTTCTGGGCAAGAATTTGACAAATACCTACCTTCATTGGCACCTAATTCATTATTTTTTTTACGTTTCAGGTCATATGTACATTCGCCTCGTTCGATTACCCTCCTTTTCTTTACCGGCTTTTTCGACAAATAGGTTGGACAATTAGGCCAAATAGATGGTACTGCATTTTCTCTCAAGCGCGGGATTTTCAGTGCATACTAAACAGAACAAAAATAACATTCCTACAGTAGGTAATTCATGGCGACCTGCGGAACTGGTATTTACTTCCTGAATTTAAAAAACTTACTGAATATGTTTCTGTGACGACTTCACGTATGACATCGTCTTTAAAAAAATGTTTTTCCGCAAACGTAAAAAAATGACGACTTTATTAATGTCAGTTCTTAATGTTGAAGTTTGATTTCACAGACTCCACTTTTTTCTCCGGCCGTGAGCGTACAAAAAAGTACTTTTTTGTACGCTCACGGCCGGAGAAAAAAGTGACATGACAGACAGTAAATATCATCAGGTAGTTGAACTTTGGAGATTTATTAGCGATAATTACATATTAATTGTGAAATTACAATTATTTAGAGTTGCACCGCACAAATTTAACACACTTCCTGATTTATTGACTTCTAATTCAATAGAATTTTGTGTAGAGTTGAATGAGTTAGCCAATAACATTTCCTTTGACTTCTTACTCGTTTCAACATATCTGTTAAATCAACGTCCACCGAATTTCGCTCATCGGAAGCTGCATTCAGGCCCAATGACGAAGAATTTGGCATTAAGATCTTTTTCGCGGTTTCTTTTTTATTAGACAAAGAATCTTCTAGGTATCCTTCAGCCACAGTGCTCGACCTCCAACCTCCATGCCGCTTTAAACAAGTGATATCAGCTCCTCCATTCACCAGCAATGTAGCTGAAGTTCTTCTTAAAGCATGGCCCGTGTAAAGTTTTGAATCCGGTAGTTTTAAAAAAGTTGCTACTGTTTTGGGTACATTACTAATTGTATGAATTCCCATGACCATGCGATAACATTTTCCGTTTTGAAATTTCAAGAAAAATCGACGGCTTTCCATAGCGGGGGGGCGCAAGGAAGTATATTTTCTATAAAGATTTATGTATTTTTCACCAATAATTGTAAACGATCGTGGCTTTTTAGTTTTGCTATCAGGAATCTTTATATGAATAACAGATCCTAAATCCTCTATATTGTCTATTGTCATATTCACCATTTCATCGCACCTACATGCTCCTGATACGCCTATTACTAAAACAACCTGAAAATAGCATATATTATTTTAAAACTTTAATGTATTTATGCAGGTATACCTAGGTAAGTATTTTATAACTAACCTTAATCCCCAAATATTGCTCATCAGGTGCATTGTTTAAAAAATCTTCAAACTGTTCCTTTGTGAATACCTTTGATTTTTTGGGAGTATAGCCTTCATTCTGCTTTTTCAAATAAGCACGTAGCTTCATATATTTGCTAATATCTAATCCATGTTTAAGATTTAATAATGCTTTTATCATGGAATATTGAGACCACATTGTTGAACTCTTCATTTTTAGATTGGTTGCCAATTCACAAAAATAAGCTAGTAGCACATTTTCAGAATAGTTTGTAATGTTTTTCTCATTGCACCATGTGAGAAATCTTTCATAAGCATGATTATAAACTCTACTTGACTTCGTTGGAATTAAATCGTTCGTAGCTGTCTTGGCAATTGCAAGAACGTCTGGCGGCGTACAGTTAAGTTCGGAATCCGACATAATATGTAACCTGCAAGAAAAATTGGTCAATATCTTTTACTACTTTATCTACTTGATACTCGGGTACTTACCAAAAACGCACAGTTCAAAAGGGCTTTGAATGTTCCCGATAATTAATTTGTTGAATTGTCAAAATTTTCTTTCACCATAACAACCGCAAACCACAGCAATCTAGTTTTAAATTTTTCAACATTTAACAGATGCGCTGCAATCTTTTTAGGAATACTCCCTTAATTCTATCGTTTGAACAGCGTTTGCGGAAAAAATTGTATGTTTTATTCGGAGTAAAAGCACTTTTTGTGGCGCGTCTGAAATTGTCGGCCTCACTACGTTCGGCCGTCAAACATTCAGACTTGCCACAAAAAGTCACACTTTTACTCCTTATAAAACAATATACTATTTTCGCACAAAGCGTCATTAATCGTTAATTTTTTATCCGCTCGGGGAATACGTTGACTCCACTCTTCTAATTTGTTTTTAGGCACTTTAAATAAGGATACTTTCTCTGAACTTCCGCTATATCCACTGTGACATCCAGGTGCAAAACAATACCTTCGTGCCATTGTAAAAAGTTGCAAAAAAAGCCCATACACAAGTTTAAGGAAGTGCGACCGTATATCACTGGCGCAATGCAGTATAAATGCACAAGTGATTTCGCGCCAAGCTAGTTGTCTGTCTCTGTCGCTGCCTCTCCCTCGCACACAGACCACACTCAATCGCCGTTTGTTTGCACCGAAAACATAGCTCGCCGGATCACCTCTCTATATTATACATCCGTGAATAGTTCTAAAGGTTGTAAATTTTCCAAAGACCCTAAGAAGGGTTCTAGAGGTTCTAAGAAAATTCTAGGAAATCTGAAGAACCTAAATCGTTCCAAAGGTCCAATAAAGGTTCTAAAAATTTTCAAGAAGGTTCCAATATGGCGCTAAGCAGGTATGTTGGCCTAAGTAGAAAATCTATAATCGTTCTGGGGCAGGAAGTGACCTCACAGTCAATTAGAATCGAACAGAATTCTCTACGTCCCTCCCCTTGGATCCGCCCGTCACTTTCTTAGTCACTATTCTAAATCCGCCATTGGACCCGCTGCATGTCTGGCTCCATCCGCCATCTTGGATGTTATTTTGGACCCGCCACCTTGAATCCGATCATAATTCGATCTCCAAACTTGGTACCAATCACGCTGATATTAGTAATTCGGTATTTTTCCACCAATTTCCATATTCTTTATACTTTTGAATGGTTTACAATAAGTCGTCGAGATCAGGGAAGCGAAATCAGATTCTTCCATTGCTATTATAAGCAGTAAATGTCTATAACAAATAAAAAAGTGTCAAAACCTAGGTCAAAACACTATGTAAATGTTTATTACAAATTAATGCTGAAAATACCGGAAGCAATTACCTGTCTCTTATCGCAAAGTAAGTAAGTATCGTTTATACTGTATTGAATTTGTGCTTCGGTCAATATCCCTGATCAATAGGAAATAAGGTTACGACCCCAGATTTAAATAAACATCTAATTTTTGTTTTGTTTTCTTTCCTATACACTCCTACTAATATAAATAGGTGTTTTAGCGATGGACATACTCCCATAATGCTTGGACGACTTGTCACCCTAAATAATGTGTCCTCTCTTACTAGGCGTGTCTATCCTGCCCTATGAACACTTTATTTATTTCTAACAGTGTGGTAGTGACCCATGGAAACAATTGATACATGAAAAAAACCTGTGCATCACCATTATTGTTTTCATTGCCTGCTACTTGTAATACCTCAAAAAATGAAAAGAGAAAAGAACACAATTTACAATTTGCACCATCGTGCTGAAATAAATAATTATAGACTAGTATAATATCGCAAAAACATTTGAAAAGCGCCCTCTTAAATAAAATCATGATTTCAAAAAGACAAACAAAAGTTTGGGTCATAATCATAACTCAAAGATAATTAACGACAAGAAACGGAAAATTATGATACAAAGGGCCATATATCATTTTGAAGTCGTTTCGCCATAACTTTGTGTACATCTTTTTTCTTACTTTATAAAAAATGCGCAGGGCAATTGTTCAGCGTCCATGATTATATAATTTATATTTTAATTTGGCGATCGATTCGTTTATGATTTTCTTTCATATGAGCGGTAAAACGTAAATAACTTCTTACTGACAAAAAATAGGTAGTACATTTAAAACTGTCTATGATTTAATACCGGTTTGCAATCTTTTTCACCATCCGAAGCGGTTGTGTTTAATTTGCGGAGGATTTCGAAAATGTAAAAGAAGTTTTAGATGATTTTCCTTTAGCGCAATTGGGTCTATTTTCAACGCAATGAAGCCGGCCTGAATGTAAATGACCATGCTTGGACTTTCTCATAGCAGCATTTCCACATTTGAAGGAGTTTAGTTAACTGATCCAAATATGCTATAAGCACCTAATAAGATTTTCTCATGTGATACCCACTCTTTTATTAAAAATGTGTTCTCCTCGTATACTTTGAGTGGATTTTGGTTCGATTGTGAACCGTTTTCAAAATTAATTTAAAAGTTAACGATTGAAGCTAGAACGTTTTAATCTGTTCACTTTCGCTTATGATTTTCCTATTAAATTGATGGATTATACAATAGTTTATTGTATTTGATTAATAATAGAGCTTTGTTTTTGACATTCATGCTAAAAAGGCCAACATGAAAATTTCAGCAAGCGGAAATTAACAACCATCTTCGCGGTCATTATTACCTAAATCTCATTTTCTAAGCTACGGGTATTAAAAGAAAAACCACCATTCATTGTCGACAATCTTTGCATAATTACAAATCTTGATAAAACGGTTTTTAATTATAAGCTCCAATTTGCAAGGTAAAAAAGCTAAAAAATAAGTCACACAAATGGTGTTAGCGTTATTTTAGTGTTTCTAACCTACGAAAATTCAATTTCAAAGTAATTTGCAACTAAAATTACTTTTATGAAATTTAAATTAAGTTTAAATAGAATTGTTTCTTTCCGTGGCCTACAAAAAGTGCTTTACACTAATTAACCTATCAGTTATAATGCGAATATTAGGTTACGAAGTGTTTGGTTTAATGTACTACTTTATTAAACAGGTGCTGTTTAAATTTAAAGAAGGTGTAAATGTTAGAGTAGCAGCACTTTAATCATCCATTACGAGAGTTTTATGCCTCTTATTTGCAAACCAAGATGTGGTATAATAAATAATTAACTTACACTGAAGAAGTTTCTTTATGTTGAGGTATCCCATAAACGGAAAAATAAAAAATTATTGGACATCATTGGCACTGGATTCTCATTAAAACGCCAGTTCAAGAGAAAGGAAGATTCCTTTGGTAGGCATGTACCTATATCCTTAAGAACCGGACAAAGACGGAAATTTAATAATTCACGCGTGAACATATTAACCTTTCGGTTATTATAGCCCACATATCTCATCAAAGGGTATATAAGCTAGTCATTATCATCAGTCAGTACGCTGCGCCCTTACTGGCAGCCCTCTAATTAAGTATTACTTCGCATTACGGTAGCATATAATCTCCTGTTAAGATTAAATTCTCTGAGTGGTAAGTTATAAAATCCGATGAATAACAGTGAATTCAAGTGTTGCGACCCTTTTTCAGTGTGTTACATCAAAGGCAAATGCGATCTTTTCGTTCACGTTTCAGTCAGGTATTAATTCGTGCAGAAGAAATAATGGATACGAATCCATTCACGTTAAATGTCACTTAACATGTCCTCTCTAACATATTAATGCAAGGGTATTTTCAAATGTGGTTTTAGTAATAAGCAGAACGAGGTTCATTTCCAGAAAGCTCCCTTTTTCAGGTGAACAAAAAAAGACACTGTTAGTTGTCATTAATGGGCTTTGGTTTATTAGGTTCGCTTTAAGTATGTACTATCGTCTTTAAAACATTTTTTGTTCTAGCTCTTTAAATTCATACATTGAAACTTTCGCGTGTTGTGCATGGCAACACCCTTTTAATCCACGTATTGTTATACTTACGAATATAAATTTTGTTTTCTATTAAGTTTATCATATAGCAGTTGATTTCAATATTTTAAAACTATGAACATAAAAAGAGTTCATATAATATTGATTTATGTTCCACATGACACAAACAACAAAAGTCGCTTGTCTGCTTAGCCGGTAAAAACCAGCGACAAACCTAAGAGCAGGTTTCTAATCTTTGTACAAAAATAATATACCAATGTTTACGGAACGCAATAAAAAAACCACTTTGGGCGCCAAATAAATAATGCTCCGTGGAATGGTATGCAGTCAACCACAGCACCCACAAAACACCTGTCCAGCTAATTCAAACAAATCAAAATTGAGACTTAAAGTTTTTGTAATCTCTTCTGGTACACTTCCGGCATCTGATACAAAAAAAAATCCCAATATTGACTTAAATTAATCATTTGGGAGACTCAGAGGCCTCGATCAACTTCTGAAAATTTCAAAGAATTTATTACAACAAAAAATTGATCTTGAATACCGGAAGGTACATCTAAGATAAAGACTCTATTCGGGTCGCACAATGGGTTCGAATCAAAACACAATTAATTGCTTGATAATAACAAAAATTTATTCCAAAACGCATGAAATGAAATTTAAAACAAAACTCTTGAAAGAAAGGGAAGTTTACAAAGCTTGTTCGGACAAATTACCGAGCACGCAAGCGTTCAATAAATGCTTTTAATTAGCAACCAGTCAGCAAATTAGCTAAAAATTGCACAAAATATACGGAAATGTTTTTAGAAGTGTTGGTAGTAGTGACGGCCTCCCCAGAAAAGGGACCCGTGGACAGAAATCGAAACAAACAACGTTATTGGACAAACTGAATAAAAAATCAAATTATAATTCTGAAGCCAGAAACGTTGTTAAAAATCCTTCATAATTTCAAACGGTAGTCGAATTGGGCCACCTGTTAATCACAGTGCAGACTATTTCCGAGGTGAAACAATTTAACGGAAGCATACCTAATGCAACACGGAACGCAATACGAAGAGATGATTCATGACGAATAATTAGGCGCGTTTTTAGAAAAGTTACCATCTCAAATTTACTAAATTCCCAGTAAAGTAAAATTCCCGGAGAACTCAAAGAAAAGGACAAGGCTTTACATGCAAATAGAAGTACTTTCGCATATTTCTTATTTATGGCGTTACTTGATCGAAATGGGATTTAGGAAAATCGTTTACGATTATACGCTTTTCATTTTTTTTGTAGGCGCCATAAAATAAACGAGTATAATCTCTACATAAATATGAAATTATTGACATACTGTGGCTATTAATTAGAGTGGAAGTAGTAAATCTGATCATAACTGCAGAATATTTAATTGAATTCCCACGCAACCCTAATAATACGACGTTAATCTCTTGAAATGTGTGTAGGATTTCAAAAATTGGTTCGAACCATGGCATGCGATTTCAATGTAAATTGAACGGATATTTTCGTTCCAAATCTAGCTGCCTGTATATTCACGATTTCCTCACATCCTGCTGCTGCTTTCCTAAACAGATAAAGTACCTACACGTAATTCGCGTAGACGAAGAATTTAAATATGTAGTTTATCCCTTTAAGAAGAGAACGTTAAAAGTGTACCTACCGAACAACTTTTGGTTAGAGTAAAATTAAATAACAAAAGTGCGCTACTTGAAACTTTTTCTATTACGCTTTGCACGTTAACAGCCAAGCCGAAGGGTAATTTCAACAGCATAAGAAGCTCAGAAATACTGTACGGGAAGGGGATGTGCCGACAACACCTCGGATGAGGCAAAACAAGATTAGATTCAATTTTCTCAGCGAATAGGTGAGATTTACACCAGTCTCTAAATCTCATTTTCGAAGCTATATCCATCGACCGCTATAAACGCAAAAAAGTTCAATGCATTGAAATTATCTTTTTCCAATGTTATTGCCGCGTTATTGCATATTAAAAGGTTTATAATGGAAAGTAAAATACGTACTCCGCATAAAGCTAACTTAATACCTGATTAGTTTTTACCATCCCAATGCTACGTTAATTATTTGCGACATAAAGCAAATGGTACGTTTTTGTACGCGTAAAATCCCTAATCGATATCCTGCTACGAACCAGAACTAACCTAACATATTAGCAAGAAAATTCAACGCGTCCTAGGTGGAAAATGAACTACGTCGATTTATAACTTGTCATGTTTCTATACAAAACATTTCACAGAAGTTTTAATGGTGTCGGATGTTACAAGAAAAGTTATTGACTTATTGACAAATAGGTAGTATGTCATAATGCGTTTATCAAATTCGCTTTACTTGTTTTGCAAGGGAAAGAAGATAAATAACTCTTCATTTGACGTAGATTGAAAGCAGAAATTTCCATATTGCAGTGCTTTGATACCAAAATGGGAATTTTTAATATTACTCGCA